TGGAATGATTGTTGAACTTGAGAGACTTAGATTCTAGTCTCAGCTGTGCTGCTTATTACCACGTGACTGTAGGCCAGCCACCACCTTTGTAAGAGTCTCCTAATCTATAAAATGAGTATAATAATAAATATACTACCTACTACTGTAAAGGGATGGTAAAGTGTTAAAAGAGATGGTATTGATAAAAATGTTGAGGACGCTAATGTGCAATGGAAATTCTGGTTGTTAAACTTTATTTTGTATGTTATTATAAAATCTATCAATACCTAGTGTGACAGAATACAAAGTAAGATATATATTTTTTATATTTATATTCCATACAGCTTGCTGTGCAAAAATATCTTACGTTGGAAACGAAGAATCAAAACATAGGATTGATTGATAGAATGGAGATAGAGGTGATTGCTGTTTTTCCACTCTCAGTATTATTTTGTTTCCCTCCCCATGATTTTCCAGGCAAAGAGTGTATACAGCAGTTAGCTGAAAACACCAGGTATTTCAGGAGACGTCTGAAAGAGATGGGCTTCATTATCTATGGAAATGAAGATTCTCCAGTGGTGCCTTTGATGCTCTACATGCCAGCCAAAATCGGGTACATTTTGTTGCAGATTACCGACTGGTATCTCTAGACTTAAGGTTTCATGATGTGAGACTCAGGCTTATGTATTTTGTTAGGGAAAGTTGTCTTGGCCTCATTATGTTAGCCTCTATTTGCTAGATATGCCAAAGATTAGTGGATTCCAATTTTTAAAATATGTTAACTTGTTAATCTTTCAGTAAACAGACATTGGAATTTAATGCACTCCTCTAGGGGGATTAAGATCGGTAAACAAAACAAAAATAGAAAGCTGCTCGGTGGAGCTCACTTCTAGTGGGGCAAGAGTCAGACAAACGTAATAAATATGTAAATTATATAACGGTTAGAAAGTGTTAAGTGCAGTAGGCAAAGATTAGAGCAGATATGGGAGATTGAGAGTGCCCTGTAGTGGGCAATTTACAGTATTAAATGGGGTGGTCAGGGTGAGCCTCCATGGGAAGGGAATGTGACATCTGCGCTTGAAGGAACTGAGAGAGTTAGCCACTTGGAGAGAAAAGCTCCTGTGCAAAGGCCTTAAGGCAGGAGCCTGCTTGGCCAGTGGAGGAATAGTGAGGAGGTGAGAGGAGCTGAAGGGATGTACCAGAGGGGTGAGCAGGGAGCTGTGAGGTCCGGTGTGTTACTGCATGGTTGTCAGATGTGCAGATTACACCAGCTTCTTTGGCTTGTGCAAAGTGGATACAATAGAATGCCTTGCCCAGAAATACCTTCCAGTGTATTTGAGAAGAGTTTAACAAAACCAGGAGGCATTTGAAAAGCAAATAGGAAGTGAACCAGTATTATTATTTGCAAAAGATTTACGTGCAAAATTGTACCAGAGATGTAAAATAATTTGATTTACCAGTTTTGACTGGATTTTAAATATGAAATTGGTTGAGGATCATTACTCAGGTTTATTTGAAGTCATTAAAGGAGCACATATTTTTATTCCTCTTTGAACTCCTAGTGTCCGCCACAGTCCCTGGCATCCAGAGGCCACTCAGTAAATGTTTATTAAAGTGACTATAGAAGGGAAAATTAAATCAGGGAACCTGGAAATATGGTGATTCCAAAGATAATGAGGGGGAAATCGGGGAAAAGTGCCATCTGAGGGGGGAAGAGAGTTCAGTTTTCAACAGGAAGTCATATGGGCAATTGGCATTATGGCCTTCAGAGGGGATGGTGGAAACGAACCAAAGCAGAGGTTTAGGACTTGCCTCATTCTTTAAATAGAATTATCATAAATAAACTTGAAGAGTTACTCAATCCAGAGGACTGACTTAGTCTAGAACCCTTTCTTTAGAGAGAACTGTGTCTAATCTATTCTACTCATGTGAAACTGTCTGTCCATTATAATTAAAACTTAGAGAGAGCGAGGCAGAATTGGAATAAAGCACCAGACCTAGACAGTTTCGGAAGCATGTGCCGAAGGTGCAGGGCCCTCAGGCTCCTCCTGACACGAAAGGAAGTGCACTGAAGCTGGTGTGTTGGTACCAGAGTGAGTGGGGAAAGGCTGGCACTAATGTTCTTAGTTGCTAATGTAACTAAAATATGTGGGGTTTTAATTCTCAAACAAATACTTTAAACAGCTCAAGGAAAAATCAAAAAGGGATGCGGTAAGCCAGCAAGAGGAAAAGACAACATAATTTAGTAACTATAACAAAATTTCCATGACATTTAGAATTGTGTTATTTAGACAAGATACAGACGCGGAGTAAGGTCACATGGCACCAGTTTGCCTTGGGGGTGGGGGGTTGAATGAGAATTGTGTAGTCTGAGTAATCAGTCAGCTGAAGCCTGGGGATGTGCTGGCCTCACAAACACCAAAAGAAACTCTAAATTCCAAAGGCAGCTTGACACGCAGGTCAGTCAGGTCAGTCAGAGAAATGCGTGGTTTGAAGGTCAATGCTGGTCGGCCATTCTGCCAGCAAAACGGTGTCCGTGTTCCAGCAGATCTCTGCACCCTTGTAACCTTAAGAAGTTTTTATACTGCCAAGCTTAACATTTCAAGGACCAGTTTTAAACTCAAGTTCATTTTGAATCCTCTGAACCACCGTCACATTTTGACACACTTTAGGGCCATGTTTGCAAATTACTCTAGGCAAGCTTTAGTAAAAATCGGTCTCTGCCAACTCCATTCTTTCACCTTTGGGAAGGAGACCAGTTGGGAGACAACGACCTGAGCACTGAATATAAGAAATCTTTGTGAGCTGTCAATGTTCAGTTTAGAAGAAGTTATTCCTAATAGAAGCCTCCAGTGCCGGTAGCACCCAAGACTTGAAATCAGGCGGGACCGCAGGCCGTGATCTTGTGCTTTATGATGCCTCCTGGTTTCTTATCCTTGCTTCCCTCTGCAGCGCCTTTGGACGGGAGATGCTGAAGCGGGACGTCGGCGTAGTTGTGGTGGGGTTTCCCGCTACCCCGATTATCGAGTCCAGAGCCAGGTTTTGCCTGTCGGCAGCTCATACCAAAGAAATTCTTGATACTGTAAGTAGACATTCTCACCTTGATATGAATAGCCCTACACTAAGGCCTGCAGAGCAGGTGAAATTGATCATCTTTTGATCCTGATGTTCTGTGAGCACCTGTGATATTTACCACTGAAATAGAAGAGGGGGTACACAGTGCTGCTGAAAACATCGCCATTTGCAAAAAAAATGAAAATAGAAAAATTGCAAAACCAGACCTTGTGTGATCAAGGCTCTGAGGAATTTTCTGGCTTCATCTTGTTCCACTTTCTCCCTCATTTGGCCTCTACAGCTGTACAGTTCTCTTTCTAGTCCAGCCGTTCCTACTCTAGACTTTCTTGTATGTTGCTCTGTCTGTAGAATTTTCTCTCTTGAACCTTCTCTTTTCTTAGCCTGGCTGACTCCTACTCATTCTTCACATCTCCACTGAAAGGAAACTTGCTCAAGGGTATTCCCTGGATGTTCCCTTGTAATCTTAAGATTTCCCTTAGTAAACTACTCACACCTGTTATTATTTAATGGCAATCTTCTACATTAGATAAATCTTGAGGATATTAACTAAGCTTAATTTGCTCATTCTAAGTCCCCAGGACCTACCGCAGTGCCTGGCACATAGTAGGGGCTCATAATTATTACTGAATTTAATTATTTATAGTCTCTTTTTTTTTTTTTTTAAGATTTTTATTGGGGAATTGGGGGGATGGAAACAGTGCTAGGGAATTGGGGGAAGGGGAGCAGACAAGTTGCTGTCGTTTTGTTCTTCAATCTAGTTGTAGAGGACGTTGCTTTACTGGCCCAAGTTGGAACCATCATTGCGCTCTTCCCAGGCAAGGCAGATCAGTCGCCGGCTTCTAGACNGGGGCCCTCTGGCGTCCCAAGCCAGCCCTTAACTGACACGCCACTTGGCCGGCCTGGGAGAGAATTCTTTTTAATCTGAATTTATAGCTGCCATAATGAAGTTTGATCATTTCAATTCTGATATCCATTAGCATGTGAATGGATAAACAAATTGTGGTATATCTTTACAAAGAAATACAGTTCAACAGTAAGGACATATAAATTTGGGGGCTTGTTTATTTTATTTTATTTTTTTACAAGTTGGGGATTTTATTGTAAGTGCCTATTCCCAGTATCTTCGGGTTGTGTGTATGTGTGTTATTTTAGATGTATTCTCTTCTGGGACTTTTCTTGTCAAGGAACAGATGATGGTGAATGGTAAGACTGAGACTTCTGCTTCCTTTTGTTAAAGAAAACTTAGTTAAAATGATAACAGCAATTAGTGGAAAGGTTAAGGTCTAAGTCTCTTAACATTTCTTATTTTTTTAATAATTTTTCTTGATATTCTTGGAACAGATATCTCGGAATTTAAAAATAGCTATTTGGTTCATGAAAAGAAAAAGATAGCGTTGTAAAATGATAAAGTGAGTGCAGGGAAAAATTAATGTACACTAATATGCAATTGTGTCATTCAATTTTTTAAAAAGATCTTTAATGATATATCATTTACATACAATAAAATTCACCAATTTCAAGTGTATAATTCCATGAGTTTTGACAAATGTATACAGTCATGTAACCATACTACAATGGAGGTATAGAATATTTTTGTCACCTCCAAAAAGTACCCTCATACCTCTTTACTGTCAATCCTCTTTCCACTCCCTGGCAACCACGAATCTGTTTTCTGTCACTATAATTAAGTCCTTTTTAGGATTTCCTGTAAATGAATTCACACTGTATAGTCTTTTGTGTCTTGCTTATTTAACATAGTGCTTTTGAGATTCATCAGCATTGTTGCATGCATCAATTGTTTTTTATATATTTCCTTTCTCTCTTCATGTTTCCTCTACCTTCTGACTAGAGGCATATTTTTAATAGCAGTTTTACATCTTTGTCTGCTAATACTCTGTTACTTCTGGTCTATTTCTATTAACTGACTTTTCTCATAGTGGTGGGTCCTGTCTTCCTGTTTCTTTGCATGCCTGGAATGTTTTCATTATATTTCGAACAGTTGTGAATTTTACATTATTGGGTGCTGTATTTTGTTGTATTCCTTTAGGTAATTTTGGACTTTGTTCTTGGAATCAGTTGGACCTTTTTTGAGACTTGCTTTTAGGTTTGTTAGAATGAGTCCAGAGCAACTTTTAGTCTAGGGCTAATTTAGCTCCATTACTAGTGTGATAACCTTCTGAGGTCTTTCCATTTTGGTGGATGAAAATACTAACTCTGCCCGACTCCGTAGGCGTGCCGGGAGTTATTGGTCTCCTGCTCTCTGGTGATGCTTCCCCAGCCTGATGGTTCCTTTTCATACATTTGGCAGATCAGCACTCTGCCAAAGGCTCAAGTGGACCCTTCTGCAGGTCCCCAAAGCTCTCTCTTTGCAATCTTCATCCTCTCCTGTACTGCCTAACAAATTCTAGCTGCCTTAGCCTCTCCAACTCCCATCTCTGGTGTCCTCAACCAACAAGACCTGATTCCCTCTCCCTGTGCAGCCTCCTGGGACCTGCTTTGGGGGCGGTACAGGGACAACCCAAAGGCTTGCTGTTAACCTTCTCTGGCAGCACAGTCCTGCATTGCCTGTGGCCCAGTGTCTGAAAACCATTGTTTTATGTACTTTGTCCAGTTTTCTGTTGTTTACAGCAGGAAGATAATCTGGATCCTGATACTCTCTCATGACCGGAAGTGGAAGTTTCTTATTCTAAACGTAGAGGAAGCATAGATTGGTACTTCTAGGGGGAAATTAGGGTACATGGCTCATCATTTCTCAGCATACTTCAATATAACACACTTTAATGTCTGCTTTGTTATTTGTAAGACATATGTCACAATTTAGATGTTCTTCAGAATTCACACTAAGCTAATCTAAGCTTGAGTGTTATTCTCTGGTCAACTTGAAATTATTTACATAAAGAGTATTAATTTGGAGCGGTTTGTAGCAGACTTACCTAGAGTAGCTTCCCATCAATGATGGATATGTTAGTATTCTAATTCTAAGGAAATTTGTTAGCCATCTGTATTTCCTATTGATTGATTAATTGATTGATATTTTGAACTGTATGTATTTTTT